TCACCACCACCCACAGTCCTTTCCCATATACCCAAGCCCAGGGATTCACCCGTCTCTATGGAGTCATGAGCCATGGGGACACCCAAGCTCACATGCGCGGGCTCCCTCAAACCTATTCAATATGCAGATGCCACTCTTCCCCAACCCTCAGAACCCACCAGCCCCAGATCCAATGTACCAAACAAACCCATAACAGTTAATGAACACACACACAAGCCATGCAACAAACCATGCACCCTCACTGAACCATGCACGAACCATATACACACCCCTAACACACGATGCCAACAACAATATTCAACCAGCAATAGAGATACAGAATGTACCAGTGCTTACACCAACTCCACAACAGGATCAGAACCAACAAGGATGAAGAGGAGGAAGAAGAGAAAGAAATGCCAACAGAAAGAGTAGTGGAGCATGGAGTGTTGAGGTACTCATGAACAATGGTGTTTAAGGCAAGAAGAGAAAAAAGATTCATCTTAAGCTGCCCGGTGGATTTGAGGAAATGCTCAATCACTATAAGGAAGCTAAACCCACCGGGAATCTACCAATATGCTGTAGTGATGATTCCAACAATGTTCACAAACTATTAGATGAACCAAGACGGCAACATGAGCCAACGCAGTCCTCAAACGAGCCAAAGGAGGATGTTTTCAACCCAAAACACTAGTATGAATATCATCATTTGGAATTGTAGGGGTGCAAGTAATGCTGATTTTAGAAGAGCTTTTCGTTCGATGCTAGATTACCATCGACCTAATGTTGTAGCTTTATTGGAAACCAAGCTCGAAGATCATCATAACATTGTACATGACTTTGACTTCTCCAGTTTAATTCAGATTCCATCTCAGGAAGCTCAGGTGGCATGGCACTCATGTGGAATAGTCAAGACACTTTAATATACCAAATCGGAGGCACGGATCAGGAGATACATGCCATGGTAAAGGTAAACAATTCAAACAATTCTTGGCTTCTTAGAATTATTTATGCTAGTAATCTATTAGAGGAAAGGCCCTTGGTTAGTAGTAGGAGACTTTAACGAGGTAACACGAGCTTCAGAAAAATTTAGGGGGCTCCCTATTAATAATAATAGACTTACCCGTTTTAATAATTGTCTTAACTACTGCAATCTCTTGGATTTAGGGTGCAAGGGACCTAAGTATACCTGGACTAATAAAAGGAAGCACTGCAAAACCCTAATCATTGAAAGATTGGATAGATGTTTAGCAAACGCGGATCGGATTAAACTATTTCAAGAAGCGAGTGTCAAATACCTTATTAGGGACCACTCCGACCATTGGCCAATTAAATTAGACCTTCCAAATTGATTAGCACTAGTAATAATATTTTTAGAATCGAGTCTATGTGGATGTCGCATTCTAGTTTCAAAAGTTTAGTCAAAGAAACGTGGGATAACCAATTTGACATCCTTAACACAATCGAGAACTTTACAGATAGAATTAAGGAATGGAATAATAATACTTTTGGGAATATTTAGGAAAACGAATACCATAATTACTAGATTACAAGGTATTCAGAACTCACCAAAATACTCCACCATCAATTTCCTTATTAGCCGAGAAAATGACCTCATTGAGGAATATAATAATATAATGAGATTAGAGGAAGAGTTTTGGAAGCTTAAATCCAGAATTCAATGGATCCAAGAAGGGGATGTGAATACTAAATTCTTCCAGATAACTACGTTACAAAAAAGGAGAAAGAATAGAATCCTAATTCTAAAAGATGGAGGTGGGAACTGGATTCATGACCAAAAAGATATAAAGGCTATCATTACTAATTTCTACCTTAATTTATACTCTACAGAGAAAGTTTTATCCTACGGAAAGAATATCTACATGTCCTATGATGCCATCATCAACGATATTGCACATCACTTATTAACTGACATCCCCCTGAGAAAGAAATTAAGAATGCCCTCTTTTTGTTCAAACCTTTTAAAGCCCCGAGGCCTGATGGTTTACACTCCTTTTTTTATCAAAGATATTGGGAGGAGACTAGTAAGCACCTGGTAAGCTTTTGTAGGGATTTTTTTATCTCTAACTATATGCCTGAAGACATGAACAACACCTATGTTTGCTTAATCCCAAAATGTCAAAATGTGGACCATAAGGCAATACAGACCCATTAGCATTTGTAACACTGCGTACAAAGTCGTCACAAAAATAATAGTCAATAGGATAAAACCCTATCTTGCTAACATTATCCACCTCACCCAAACTAGCTTCATCAAAGGGAGAAGGACAGCTGATAATGCCATTATAGTACAAGAAGCTTCCCTTCACCTTAAAATCTTAAAGGAAAAAATAAAAATGATGATCAAAATAGATTTGGAGAAAGCCTTCGATAAAATTGAATGGTCCTTTATTAGGTTCTCCTTAACATCTTTGAATTTCCCTAAGAATCTCATAGACCTCATCATGGCCTGCATTTCCACCACAAACACTTTTATTCTTGTTAATGAGGCCAGGATAGATTTCTTTAAACCAACTAGAGGAATTAGACAAGAAGACCCATTATCTCCCTACCTATTTATCATCTACATGGAAATGCTATCCAGACTCATAGACCATGAAATTGACTGTTGCAAATGAGACCCATTAGAATTAGTCCGAAGGGACCACCTATGTCACATCTATTCTTTGCAGACGACCTTATTATACTAATGGAAGTCAACCAAAAAGTTGCAATTCTATCATTAATACGCTCGACAAATTCTGCACAATATCAGGGCAATCCATAAACTTCAACAAATCCAAAATCATATTTTCCGATAATATCTCACCTGAGAAACCTTTATAGTAACAAACTTTCAATAAAGGTTGCCAACAATCTCGGCAAGTACTTAAGATTCCCAGTGATCAGCACTAGACCATCCAAAAAGGATTTTCAATTCATAATAGATCGGATAAATAATAGACTTAGGGGATGAAAAACTAAGTTTTTTAGTAGTGTTGGAAGAGCAACCCTTATAACATCAACCCTGGCTGCAATCCCAAACCATGTTATGCAAATATATAACCTCCTCAGGGCTACTCTAAATAATTTTGACACAATAGGTTCAAATATGCATTAAATTAGATAATTAGGCCAATTATTAATAGTTAAGCGACCGTGCTAAAACCACGGAACTCAGGAGTGCCTCACACCATCTCCCGGGTTAATAGAATTACTTACCCGGTCTTCTAGTTACGCGGATCTTAAAACAGAGTTAATTTCCTCGATTTGGGATTTAAAATAAATCGGTGACTTGGGACACCATAACAATTATTCCAAGTGGGGATTCTGAAATAAATAAATAAATAATCTCATTTCGAATAATGTCACTTAAATTGGATAAACTCCCTATCCCCTAGGAAAAAGGAAGCGTGACATCCATGAAATTATGTTCGTGATATATAGTAATATACAATGTGATATATAAGCCGATATAGACGCATGGTTTCATACACAAACGGAATTTCCTTCATGTACGAAATAAAATAAATTTCACTCAATTACATTACTCTTCGAGTCAGTAAATGTGCTAGAAAAGAAACTTTCCGACGACCTACCATCATTTACGGCTACAAAGGATTACCTAGAAATATTTATAGGGTTATTGTGGGGCTGATGGAGGAGATCTGGGGTGAGTTGAGAAAAATGTGAAGAAAGAGAAGCAAAATTATAAGGGTTACCTATTGCTAATTTTTGGGGGCTGTGTGTGCCGAAGTCAATTATTGGCTAAATAGTTGTCAATTTCTCTTTAGAGTTGGATATAAGTGTCAATTATTAGTGTAAAAATTGCACGGGGCGCCTTATTTGGTCGCCCCCATTTAACCTATACCTATTTTTTTTAAAAGTTTTAACTTGTACCCACTTTTTAAATAACTTCAGCCCCCTTTCTCCTCCTCCTTCGTTTTCTTCTTCTTCTTCTTTCTTCTGCTGCTGTTGGTGCTGCTATGAAACTTCAGTTCATGGGATGATTGCTATAAGTATGTTTATCAGATTATTTAAAAATAAATTATAAATAATTACGTAAGTTAGTAGACAATAATTTGTGAATATTTCCACGTACGTGAAGTTTAAGGTCACACTTAGTGATTCTTTTCATGATAATTATGTTCTTTTCACGTTTATTGTTTCAAAAATTTATGATTTAGATACTATTGGCAATCTGATTATTTTATAGTAGTAATACACTATGAAAGAATAAGGTGATTATTTATCTAGTATGTTAGAAAGCTTTTTAAAAAACTTCAGCTTATATAGTGCTGAAGTTTTTACGAATGAACTAAATAACTTCTGCATCTTCTGCTGAAGTGTTTGAAAAAGCTTTATGACAAAACTAATGAATCCAGGATAAAAAAATTTCAGCTTAGTTAGTGATGAAGTTTTTACAAATGAACTAAATAACTTCAGCATCTTCTGTTGAAGTTTTTGAAAAAGCTTTATGATAAAACTAATGAATCCAGGACAAAAAAACTTGAGCTTATTTAGTGCTAAAGTTTTTACAAATGAACTAAATAAGTTCAGCATTTTCTGCTGAAGTTTTTAAAAAAGCTTTGACAAAACTAATGAATCCAGGACAAAAAAACTTCATCTTATTTAGTGCTGAAGTTATTACAAATGAACTAAATAACTTTAGCATCTTCTGCTGAAGTTCGTATTGCCTTTGCTACTTCAGGCCCGTCTACTAGAATGCTGAAGTTTTGCGTGATTGCCTTTGCTACTTCATCTCCGTATGCTGAAGTTACGCGAAAAAGTGGGTACGCTTGCAATTTTTTTTGCAAAACGGGCACAAGTTAAAACGTGACCCAAAAAACGGGTATAGATGCAAATGCCCCATTATTAGTGTCGACCAGATTTGTTTGGTAATTAACTCTAAATTGGCTTGGGCTTCTGGAAAAAGCACGGGTAGGCCCATTATCGTTGGCGGCAAAAAACCCCTTCAATTGGGCGGTAAACCCCTCATTTCATATAATTGCCACCACAGAGCTAAAGCCCTTGGCCATTTCTGCTTCTGTTTGTCAGCTTCTCCGGAGCTCTTCTGCCGTCGTGGTTGGCGGCACAATCATGGTGAAACGGCGTCGTGAAGAAACTGATTCCAATGGAGTGCCGGCAATCGAACTGGCGACGTCGTACAACACGGTTTTCGTAGATACCAACTTTGATACTCACTTAGCTTTAGTTGTCTCCGACTCGGATTCTGTCTTCTATCTCAAAAGTATTTTTTCCCTTTTCTCAATTATATATACGTACTTTTTAAGTTTTTCTCTGGCTGCTTTTTTGTACAGTTTCATCTGTGGATGCTCTGTTAGTAAAGTTACTTTGATCATCATTGAAAAAAACGTTGACGCATTGGGTGCATTTGCACTCACTGCTTGTATGTTGGGTATGCCAAAAAGGTAAAAATTGTTGGTTAATTTTGTACGAGTTTAATTTCTATGCATTATGTACTGAATGTGTAAAAATATTAACACAATTGGTCACTTATTAGGTAATCACAAGTTAATCTCTTGATAAACATTAATTGTTAATCTGGTAAGATGGTAACTGACCTGTTATCACATGTTAAATTTGGTGTTAATTCTTTTTTAAATTATCGGTGTATGTAACTTAAATCCATTTTGTATCCAAAGTATAAATTTCGCGTTGTTGGTTCTAATTTGCTGATAAGTGATTTTAGATTCTCAATCAACGAATAGTTAAGTTAACAAAAGAATTGAGTTGCCTGATAAAACGTGTTTGTGTTAGGCAGAAAAGGCTGCGTTTGAACATTTAAGGTGCTTTCCTGAGTTGAAAGAGTTGAAGATTTCTTCAGTGAAGGTCTGTTGCTAATCCCCCAACTCATTGTTTTTTTGTCTATATATATTCTTGTAAAATCATGATGATCGATGCCTTTTGTTATTCCTAAAACGTTGAAACGGAGAGGACATTACTATCACCTGTCTGATACTATGCTTGTCAGAAGTGTTTTTGAGGGTATAAAAAATGGCTGGTTCCTTTCTATATATTGATGCTTCTAGCTGTGACCAACGGTTACTTTGCATAACATATGCGCAAACTGAAGCTGACAATCATTCGTTCACTGAAATGGCTAAAGAGAAGGTTTTTGATACTAATGAACCTTACCCAGCTCACGGAAACTTGGCTTCAAGCTCCATTGTGAAAAAGAAGAAAGTCGCAAAGGTCATTGGTGAATTCAAGACCATGGATGAATGAATGACAGCAACTTTCTCCCGGAGCTGGTCCTGTGGCTATGAAGCGTCACATAGAAGAAGGCGTTGCCACAGATACCCACACTTCAAAGCATGGCATAGATGATGATGCTTCTGAAGTTAAGGTTGTTGGAAATGATACTAATGAAGGAGAAAGATAGCATATAAACATGAGATCCAAAAATGCCAGTGCTGAACCTTTACTTTCTGATCACAGTAATAAGGTGTCAAAATTGGAAAAGAAGAAATGTAGGATGGGTGGGGCAAGTGCTGAAATCTCTGCTGTGCAGGACCTGCAATGTGGGAATAGGAACAATGATGCACTTGATGAAACATCACAGTCTGGGACTATTGCGAATAAAGTGAAAAAAATTGGATAGCTGTCAGGGTTCCACCGGGTTTAATCGTAGGGATGTTGCAATTCCGGAGAACTCCACAGAACATAGACCAGTAATAAAGGCAGCTTTAGCAGAAGCGTTGGAGGACCAATCTTTGAGAACAAATATAGCCCATCAGAAAAGGAAAAAGAAGAAGGGAAAGGAAAGGACTCATCCACGTGCCATGATGAAGGAGTTGAAATGAAGATCTTTGACAAGTTGACTGATGTTGACACTACTATTCAATCTGGACTGAAAGAAACGGTATGCATTCACAGAAGTTGAGTTAAAATGATATCTAACTTTGCTGCTGCATTGAATCCAACTGATATCATGAAGACCCAACCAGTGTTTTCAACAGATTTCTCTTATAGTTTGCTGACAATCGCAGATGTGACTAGCAATCCAAACTTTTATGGCGCTTCTAAATTTGTTATAAGAAAATGATCAGTTGGAAATTCATAATGCTGAAATTTATGATAGTTGTAAACAAAATGTCACTGTTGAATTACTGTCTGTAATATAAATGTGAAAAATTCTTGATCTTGAAATTAACGATACAAGTGTAGTGTCTGTTAGTGATTTTTGCAACATTTATGTGACTGTTTACAACATTAGAAACTGTTGCCATATCTATAATTTCTTGTAGAATATGTTTTGCTGAGGCAATTGGTGAAGGTGGTGTAGTGTTACACAACGTGTTTCATATACACATCATTTTAATTAAGTGTTTCGGTAGATCCTGCCACTAACTTTGCCTTGTTTCTATCTCATTTCTTGGCAATTTTTACCTCAAATGTACTAGGAGTACGGAAACTATAACTCTCTGTAGCCAAACTCATATTGAAGCATATATGAAAGACTAATATTATTCTCTAGATGAGAAACTAATACTACCTGCAAATAAAATTTTCGGAGACTACTAGCTACTTTCTGGCCTAGTTGAGAAACTAGAAACTGCTTGAGAAAGAAAATCACTTTTATGAATCTGAATCAAAATATAAAAATCATTTTGTATGTAGTGACCAACATTACAAAGTACATCTTACCTTGAAAAGTGCTTCTTAGAAAAAGCATTAAAAAAAAAAAAAAAGCAACAGAAGTGTTAATTAAAACCCATCACTTGTGCCATTGCATGTTATATGTCCAGTCTGCTTCCTATCCAAAATGGATTTTCAGACAAATAATGAACTGCTGATCCACAAGTTTCGGATAGCTCCTTGATATCAGAAGGACGCAATAGTAACTTACACAAGTTTGTATAAGAACTATCGTCCAAGTTGATAGACAAAACCATGCCCGCGGGCTGTGTGCATATGACCAAGTACCGATTTTCATCTCCACTAATAAGAGTGAGAAAATTAATTTGAGAGAAATTCATTTCAGGAAATTCATATATCTTATACTTGCAACACCAAGAGGAATAGTCTTTTTCGAGTTCAAAAACGTCTAAGCGAGAACCCTTTTTTGAGCGAATATAATATAGACGGTCTTTCAAGCTTCCAAAGTACATAGCTTCCCTTCTTTTGGATGGCATTGGATACGGATGAAGGCTTTCCGTATCAAGATCAAAATAGATAGAAGTCTCAGATTTATATGCTGGCCAAAAAATTGCTCTATTTACGAAAACTCCATTGTTGAAGTCCACGCGACTTACAGCTGAGTTTGAAATTTGACATGTTAAATGCTTCCACAAATTAGTCTCTGAAGAATATATTCCTATCTCAAAATTTTCGGCGCGAGGACGACGATCAGAACATACATGAATTACTTTAAAATGAGACGATACAGAATAATCGAAAGCCAAAGTCATGTGTAGAAAATCAGCAGCATCACCATATCTATGTTGAGTAAGAATATAGTATGTTATTTCAGGAAGAGCAATAAATTGGTTTGTAGTCGGATTAGAGACATAGTATTTGCATATAGGGTTTATGGTTCTTTCCTTTTTCATGGTGCGACACAAAAGTAAACCACCACAGGAATTCAAAATAACAACACCTTCGCCATAAGGATTTTGCAAACCTTTGAGAGAGTGAATTAATCCATTATCAGTAAAAGAAATATAGAAGTACTTAAAACTCGTGTTATCTTTGCGCCAAAATCGATTGACAAAAAGGCCACCCAAAGAAGGAGTTTTAAGCCTCCAAAAGGAAGCAAATTTGGGATCAGAGATTAGAGATTGCCATCTTTTACAAACAAGTTTGCACCTGAAGAGTGGCTTTGGTGAAAGGAGGAGTAAAATAGTAGTAAGAAGATCATTGTTGCCTTCAACTGAAGCAAAAGAAACAACTTTTTTACTACTATTCTTTTTAGTTTTGGTAGACCTTTTTTTTCCTTTGTTTGTAAGCATAGTGAAAGAGTTTATTTAGTTCGAATAAGGTTAATGACTATTTATAATTGGATTACAAAGGAAGAAGTAACAATAATTCTCTTTTGATTAATGAACCAAGAAAACTGCAACGATCCACTAGAATTAAATGCGAGGAGACCAAAGGTTTCTTTAATTTTCACATCTTCCTTCTTATGGCTATTTAATTTATTTATTGTTAAAACATATATATATATATATATATATATATATATATATATAATTAAGTTATGTTATACCCAACCTCCTCTTTTACAGTACGTGAGATTAAATGGATTTTTGTTAAATAGATTTCTCATTTAACAAACTTATACTAGTACCAATTTTATTCGACATATTTTGTTGATTCACATATTTAAAGATGTAATATATCCCATTTGGCAAAAACCTTATTTACAGAGAAAAGAGAATAAACTCAATAGTAGTGTTTATTCATGTGGAAATAAAAAATAAAAAAAAGTGAAACAAATGACGTTTTGCATTAATTCTTGTAATTTATTACCTGTGAATCCTAATCGACTATTCTGTGACGTGGGGATATGGGTGAGAATGAGATTAATTAGTTATAGGAGATTAATTTTATGGGCTCTACCAAATCTCTATATATATAATAGTGTAGTGTGCAATAGAAAAGTGATGTGGCACTCTACTTGGCGAGCGTAACTATTTATCTATTTTGTCAATTTTTGGCCATTTTAACTCTATTTTTCCTCTCTCCTGAATCTGGAAGAACGCTTCGTTTCAATCTTCCCATGAATTTTCAGTTATCATTCTTATATTTAGTTCTCTTTTCCTAAGCCGTTGCTTATATGCAAGAGTTTTGGGATTTAAGATCATTGTACTTTAGTACAGTGTTATCAAAGGCGAAAAGCGCAAAAAGGCTCTAAGGCTCGTCGGGGCTTTAAGCGCAAAGCGCAAATAAAGCGTGGACTTTAATAAAAGAAGGCGCAACTGGATAAAAAGTAAAACTACGTATATGTAGTCCAAGACCAATAATTATAAGCATGAATAACAAATATATAGACAAAATAGTTGGAAAAAAAATACGATAAAGTGAAATATCAATTTATTTTCAGGATTATACTCGTTGGCAAGAATAAGTATGTCTTAGAGCCTTAATGCGACACTGAAGCGCCCGCAAAGCGAGGTGAAGCGCCTCAACATGGTTTGAGCCTCGCTTTAGGGCTTAAGCGCGCCTTTGACAACACTGCTTTAGTAGCAAGAGTGTTGGGATTTAAGATCCTTGCACTTTAGTTGCAAGAACAGAAAACATATTCTAGGAAATTCCTAATCCAGAGAAGCTAACATAGAGATGGGATTTAGAGAAGTCATGGGTGAGAGAGATCGGAGATTCCAACTACACCATCTATTTATCCTTCTTTCGTTTGTTTTATGTTTTCATTATGTATTTAACAAGTATTTTAACTGTTCAAGTGTAGCTTATTTGTTGAATCTGTTGATGAGATTTTCAAAAAGATTATGGGATAGTAAATCATGATTGTTTAGTGTACGCATCCATTTGTCTTCTTTTTTCTTATGATCTGCCTTTGTAAATTGCTTTATTCTCCTCTTTTTCCTTTTTCTGTTTCTTCGTTAGTCCAAGAATTAATGCTAAGATTCCAATGATAACCTAAAAGGTGAAGATTATTGGAAGAACATTGTGCCCAGCAATTTCAAAAAAATTAATTTTCTTGTTTATTAATGTATTGATTCAGCTTATTTAAACTCACCGTTCATCAAATTTATTGGCTTTTGTTGCTCCTATTTTCCTATGTATCTTACTATAGACTCAATTATTGCTCTAGCCTTTAAAATCTAAGTAAATTAGTTAACATTTCCTTATGTCTATTTGTAGAATTTCAGTAATGCATATAGAAGAGCCTTGTGCCTAGAGCAGTGGTGAGCACAGTTCCGAGGATATCAGTGGCTGTTGCACTCAAAAGAGAGCAGCCATCCAGTTTATATACTAATGAGGTACGACGGACTGCATGGATAAAACGATCATGCTAGCAACAAGTCGAGATTCGAAGGAACTAAAGTTTCTTTTCCCGTGGGAAGCAGTGTTTCACAGTACTGTTGCTAGGATAAAATGTCATATTTTCCTTATCTTTTTGTCCCATTTTCCCGGTTTAATTTTCCTATTTATCTTATTGTAAGATTAAAGGTCTCAATTGTTGTTACTCCGATCTTCTCTGTGATGTATAGTGAAAAGTTTGTTAGTTTACCCGAATCTTTCATATTCCTTATTGGTTGTTCAAGTACTCATCTTTTAATCAATAATTATGCTATTCTTTTTGCCATTTTCCCTCAGTATCTTCTGTATTGGGGAAAATTGTATTTATATATATGGTGACGTGTCATGGCACGTAGACTGATCAAGCAGTCAAAGAATTAAGGTTGGTTAACAGACACGAGCAACAATAGATACGAGCAAGTTAAATGAAGAAGGCACGAGCAGTCATACAAATAATTCAACGTTCGTACCTATTCAAGACATTCAAAGGTCAAAGATCGAGAAGAGACAAAGGAATGAATCTGACAGCAAAAAAGAGCCCAGATACAACATTTAATGAGTATTAAATACTAGAAACATTAGAGAATATGTATTTAATGTATATGATTGCATAACGTAACATTTAAGGTCATTAAATTACCCATAATTGTCTTATTATGACAAAGGGAAAGTCTGTATTCCAAAAACAGCTATAAAAGGGAAAGTCACAAACAACTGCAGGGGGACAAAAAAAATACTATTGGAATATACTTTGTTTTATTTGCTTTCTCATTATATTATTCAAAATCTCTTTCTTATATACTTCTCCGATTATCAGTAACCCAAGTTCTTCTAAATTCAAGCTTTGACCTAAAATCTAATTTTTGGTTAAACAAATTGGTTCCGTTACCGGGAATCTGATAATCAAGCATATCTCAACCTAATTTTCTTGATTGCATCAATCATGTCGAACAACAATGACAACACTCAAGGAAACCCAGAAATTCAGACAATCCAACAACTTCAGGGAGATTCCCCATGAGGCTCTCCACAAGGTTCTCCACGAGGCTCCCCACGACGGTCTCGTGAAGGCACTCCTGATGGATCTCACACAGATGGACAGGCTCAATTCAAAAATGTTGAAACCATGAATGAGGCTCTGCAAAAACTTATTGCCTCTCAAGTCAATAACGCTCTTCAAGCTTTTGTTAGCCAATTACCTGCTGTTCCACCCACATCTACTCCAAACAACAACACTTTGGAGAATCCTCGTTCAGGATTGGTTAATTCAGGCAACGGTGGAACCCCTAGTGAAACACAAGAGAGAGACCCAGGTAATCCAGTTAACTCTGATTTACAAAATCTAGTACTAACCTTGCAGAAACAGCTTAAGGAGCAAAATGAACACATAGAGCAAATACCTGGAGTACCGCCCATGATCAAGGGAGTGGATATAGATAAATATTCCCAACAACCATGGAAGCCAAGTGCTGCTCCCCTCCCAATTCCAAAGAAGTTTAAGATTCCTGATATTCCAAAGTATGATGGTACATCAGATCCACGAGATCACGTTACTGCATTCACAACAGGTGTCAAGGGCAATGATTTGACTAAGCAAGAGATTGAGTCGGTCTTGGTCAAAAAATTCGGTGAAACACTCACTAAAGGAGCCTTAACATGGTATTCTCTTTTACCCGAAAATTCTATAAATTCGTTTGCTGAGCTTGCAGATTTATTTATCAAAGCACACTCGGGAGCTCAAAAAGTTGAAAAGCGAATGGAAGATATCTTCAAAATCAAGCAAGGAGATTCAGAGT